GGTACATATCTCCCATTAGGGCTGAAAATAGGGACGACTTTCCCGATCCCACTCTTCCCACGATCGCAACCAACGATCCCTTCTTCACATTCAGTGTAATATCCTTTAGAATTGGCTCTTCTTCTAAACCCCACGAAAAGCAACTCTTTTTCAAACACACGGCATATCTCTCATCACTTGAATCCTCTCTTCTCTCATCCCTTTCCACACTCTCCTCCAACTCTTCACAACTTAAATATTTACGAATTCGTCGAAACGAGACAATAGCTCGAGTGAAATGAGTCAAAGTATATGGAAGTCTGTATTGATAGTAAAATTTTAAAAAAATATTATAGTACTCATAATAAATTAAAATTCTGGTAGTTTTATACCTTGCCATTGGTACCCGGAATATATTTATCACAGACAATGAGACAAATGCTGTCTTAGCAGTCAATACTAAACCACTCGCATAGATATAAACAGTGAATGTAACCGCTGTCATAATAAAGGGCACTGCCATCCAACTAACGTAGATAACTGAGACAAAGTAATTGAAAATTTTTAATTTATACAACTCTTGATGTCTGGTTATCGATATCCTATCCATAAACGGCTTCTCCCATCCAAACAGTTTGAGAAGTTTGATATTATTCAACATTTCACTGATTTGTTTCATTCGCATATCCTTTAACTCCATTTGTTTGGTCTGAATCTTCTCAATGCGTTTATATATGAATGAAGTCAATGGCAAGACTACTGCCATCACTACAAACACCATCAGTGATGAGGGACCCAATTGTGACCACAGAATGTATTCACCGATTATAAAACATATGGGTATTGTATATGAGCAAGTTGCCACCCGGTGAAAGTCACATAACTCTCCAACATCGACACTCATTATGTTATTTATTTCGCCTTAAATTAAATTATTTTAAATATAAAACAATGTTTTGAAGCAATTTCTACGATTTCTATTCACTAACCTGTTGTGTAATTACGACGAGAACCGGCACTAAGTCTTAGCATTTTCTTATAGATAGCTGTTGTCAGAGACGACCGAACCCTATATGAGGCCAACATTGAGAACAAGTTGGAGTGACATTCAAATAGTCTGGCCATCAGAGTGCAGACACAGAAAGCGATGGCATAATAGACTCCGTGCCACATATGGTCGGTGTCCGACACAAAGTCTATTAGTTTTGCAAGAATATAGGGCTGAATAAAATCGGCAGCTATTTTGCATAGGGCTAAGACTGTAGCGATTGTATAAGTGCTCCAAACAGTCGATGAAATCAATGGAAATAATCTTATTTCAGGCTTTAATTTGTTTGAATTATACTTCTTATTCGCCGATTCAAACGAATTGTAAGCATTCTTTGACTTTAAAAATTCACACATAGGAAGTAAATGTGGAGTCAAATCTTCATTTGATTTATAGCCGTGTTTTAGGATGTTTTTGATCCAAACTACAAATATCTTGGAGAATATATTGAAGTCATTCATCGGACATTTGGTCTCATATCCAGACCCTAACAATTCAAATTCAGACACTCTCTGTGCTAAACATGAGATGATTAGTGCCTGACTAGAGAGCAGTATTTCAAATATATTGAATACCACATCAAATTTAGGGATACTTTCATGATTTGTGGCATATATTTGATACAAACTAACGGAAACAATAAATAGATTTGTGAGCCATAGGACAGGTATTGAAGTGGAGTGCCGGTGACCCAACCGACGGAATTGTAAGACAAGAATTAGTGCCAAAATATATGTAATCAATTTGATTGAATGAGAAAGTGTTTCACTCATTATTATTAATTTAGTCTCATTTTCAAAGTATTTCCATAAAGTCTTTATGATATTAGTTATTGAGATGACAGACAGACAAATGATTGTAAGCTATAAACAAGAATCAGAATTTTAAATGAATTTTTGTGTTAAGGGTTTAAAAATATATACCAAATGTGAGACATTTCTCCATTGATAGGGAATTGGAGGCACTCTTTGGTTGTATTTGCGGACAACATATATATCGTACGGAAGAAGTAGTAATAGGACTGAGAGTGGAATCACTGGTAATACTGTTTGTGTGAAACAGGCGGTCAGTACCGGGATATCGGAATCCCAACTCAGAGTCCAATTCTGTATAATTTGTAAAATATTTTTTTGATGTTTCACTTTATTTAAAAATTGCAATTATATCCATTTTTAAACTCATATTGATATTAAAATAAAGATAATTTACATAATTACTAATTTACATAAATTAAAAAATGCTGATTATAGCAAATTAAAATTGCATGGTTAAAAACAAATATGTTTTAAAATATTGGAATAAATATAATTTCTTAATTTTTACAATTACAAACATTGGGAAAATTATTTAATTTATAATTTATAATAAAAGTGTGTTTAGTTATTAAACTTGAAGTTAACTTATAATAAACAATTGAAATAAGAAACTTACCAAAAGGGGTGAATTGCATAACATAACATCCTTGGGCATTTTGGATCAGCTGACACGATTAATAATGTTTTAGAAAATTAATAAGCACTATGTATTATTACAAATGAAAACTATAAATGCAGTAAAAAATATTTATATACAATATATATATTCCAAGTTTTGTATAAAATATCCCAAGTTTTGTTTGTTCAGGTTTCAAATAGTTATATTATAACTAACTGCCATAGTCTCGTTGTCAATGACACATTGCGTTTAACACTAATCTTTGCTAGTGTTATCAGGACAGTTTACGATATTGAAGGACAGTCAAAATTATGCATTATTCTTGAGCACATTTCTTCAAGGACAAAAAAAATAAAACATTATGTTCCAGTACAATAACATACTTATACATATATCAATATAATTATAACACAATGTATCATACTTAAATCTCTTATTTATTTATATATACTATATATTAAATGTTCATATTTTTTGATGAAGTTTGAGAAACAATTTAAATTGTGTCTAATTTGAACCTCAGCACTTCAAAATAACCTGATTTTTATGTCAATTGTAAATAACATCTATCAAAAATAAATATATACAAGTTAAAATATATTAGACCACTAATTATTACAATTTTTATTAAAATTCTTCATAAATTAAGCAATACAGTACTTGATGAATAACTATTGTGTTATTATTATTGTCAATGATATTCGCGTTAACAGAAAATTATTTTATTTATTCATCAGTCTCAAACATCAGGATACTTTCATTGTAATTTTTAAATTGAAATAATATTTACCTACCTGTGTCACTTACCGAAAGTTAAATAATGACAAAAGTGTTAACAAAAGGATCAATAAATTGCTACATTAACCAAACGTTTGTAAACCGTATTAAAATAAACAAGTAAAAATGTATTACATAACAACTGCACGTGTAGTGCATTTGTGTCAATTTGACGTAACATTCATAAGGAATTCCTACTTAACTGTCATATAATGTAAGGATAAATGATACCATAAATTATCATTATGTCAGTCGACTCTACAGTATCTCAATTCTCATGCCATATAAAGCAATATCAATAACAGTTGCCTTGAACAATGATTTCATTGAATACGACATAATAATAATGTAATGGATGCACAATAAAGCTAAACGAATACATGAGAATTAATACTTTTAGGGAATTTTATTGCAACGATATTTATGATACATAAGAATATTGTAATCGTTATGTAATAAAGTATAGAATTTGAAAATAAGTTGAAATTCATAAATAGTTAGCACTAAAAAGTTGTTTATTTCAATACAAGTATAAATTTAGAATAATATTTTGAACGGTTGTACAGAAATCTGTTTATTTTTAGATAATTATATAAATAATAAAATAATTAATAATTAATTCTTTAAATAATTCCGAATTCTTTGGCCAAACCATAGAACAGAGAATCAGGTCTTTGGAGTAAATTCTTCGGTGAATCCATTTCAGCGATGACTCCGTTGTCTAAAACCAAAATCTTGTTGTAATCCAAGACTGTATTCAATCGGTGAGCGATTGTCAAAACAGTGCAGTCACTGAACTCATCCCTAATCGTCGACT